AAATGTTGACCTACTTCTAACTCTGACTGCAACTGCCCCTTTGGGAAACAGCCACACTCTTGAGTACTCTCTGTTAAATGAGTGCCACCTTGTCTCTTTCCTCAGCATCATCATTGTAATTAATAAGCAACAATATCATCCCTCGTGGTTATATTCCTATTAGGTGTTAACTGGCCCTAGCATCATTATCTCATTAAGCTTTTCCAGTTAAATTACTTCATCAGCTTCCCTCCAAAGGGGGTCTGGTACTGTCAGGCTGAGAAGAAAGCCAAAAAGATCATCACAGGCACTTAGACCTGTTCCAAATACTAACATTTTTGAAAAAATAATGTTATTTTTACTACTAGGAGTACTTTATATTGCTATAAATCCTCTTGTCTAAGTATTTAAAGCAATATTCAGAAAATTTTTAACTTAATCTCACTCATTTTGATAGGGAAAAAAAATGTCGTGGAAGAATATATTATAAAATATTTACAATAGCTAAAACTTCCTCCCTTATCACTGCCCACATTTCTATTTGATAAATGATCTCCAGTCCTTTCATAAGATGCTGCATTTCAAATGTTATAAAAAAGGCTAGGAGGGGGGATAGTAGAGGATAGGAAAGGTAGCAGAACATGACAGTCACTAGTATGGCAATATGTAAATCAATGGATGTGTAATTGATGTGATTCTGCAATCTGTATATGGGCTAAAAATGGGAGTTCATAACCCACTTGAAGCAAAGTGTGAAAGATGATATATCAAGAACTATGCAATGTTTTGAACAACCAACAGTAAAAAAAAAAGGAAAAAAAAAAGGCTAGGAGCAGGCTTGCTTGCATACTGCCTACTTCAGTTTGTTCTAGATGCAATCTTTTTTTTTAACTTCCCTGATAATGCTTGCCTTTTCTTTCCTTTAATAGCATTCATTTTATAAATCAACCTTTTGTAAAGGTAGATGAAGACTATTCTACTCATAAATGAATGGAGAACATAGACTAATCCATTTCTCTAGAAATGCTTTCATTCTGAAGACTAATGACACTTATTGCTTCTTCTATTGTCCTCATGATTTCATGTTAACCATGAACTCTTTTCATCTTTTCCTCCTTTATTTCTAGGTTGTGCACATTCTCCAAAGGTTGGGGGATATGCCATCGAGAGTTCAAACTTGCCCTTTTACAGCCATTAATCACGTTTTGTTTCCCATCCCAATTATCTCTTCCCTTCTCTGCCTTCCAGAATCCCTTAATCATCTCCCTTATAATTCATCATTCATCCTCACTTTCCCAAGTAATTTCTGACTTTCAAATATCTTATTATCCCATGTTCTTTATTACATACTTATCCTTCAACCTCCATTGTTCTTTAATTTCCTCACAAATTGTGCGGTCCTACTTGGCTTGCAGCATTTCTCCCTTTTGGGTCATCTTCCCCCCTTGCCTTCCTACTTTCCAAGTTCCTCTTTGTTTCCATAGATGCAGGTCATGATTTGATATGACGGAAACGAATCTGAATCTCCTTCTGGTTATTTACATAACTTTTAAAATCCAATTATCATTCCAAGGGGGAAATCTAGGTTTACAATTCTCAAGCCTTCCCACAGAAGCAATCTAATACACTAGGTGTCTCTCTCTCTCTCTCTCTCTCTCTCTCTCTCTCTCTCTCTCTCTCTCTCCCTCCCTCCCTCCCTCCCTCCCTCTTATTTCATCAGGGATATGAAGGAAATGCATTCTCAGAGGAAATATGGCACAGTTGCTTGGTGTTAATCTGAGCTCTGTTGACCACCCTCTTTCTCATTTGGGAATGAAGCTTGGTATCATGTCCAAAAAATACATTAATGTCTTAGGATAATTCTGTCATACATAAACCTTTTGTCTCAGGGATTGAAAGTAAATCCCTAAATACAAATCTAGATGTCATCAAGCCTTCTCTTCCTGACCAGTGTCTTTTCCTAGAAGAGTGTACTTTTAGTTTCTAAAGTTTTCATGTGTTTTGTTTTGGAAACTTTTTTCTCTTTCTCCTTCCTCTCTTCCTCCTGAATTCTCGGGAGAATTATTTTTTTACAAATACTGAGACATTCTTTCTTGTCATTGTTTTTTCTGCCTCAGGATCCTTCCTCATCTCACCTTTTTCCAGTGGATGCTTTTCTATTTTATGTCAGGGACAAATTCTCACAGTCACACCTTCATGATCTCCCTCACTTCCCCTCTGTCACTTTATGTGACTCCATACACACACTTTTTGGACTCTATGTTTGCAGTTGGTGTGGGTGCTGAAGTTCTCCCAGCCTGTCTCCCGGATCAGGAAGATAGTCATCTCGTTCCCATAATGCCCTTGGATGCTGGTAAAGAAAAGGCATGGGGTCATTGACTTTATTAGTGATAACACTGGGGCAGTAGAAGTAAACATGCCTACTAAGGAACAGCTTCATTACATTATGCTTAAAGGAAGAATTGCAGCAATTTCCCAAACTCTAACTATCTCCCTATTGAACTTCACTGAAGAACAGAGCTCATTTTCCAAGGTTATTGATTTTTTCCTTTCCATCAAAGGCATATAAAGGCCTTATACAGGAATAGAGTTAGTAAATTGTTAGCACGGAATTGTAGCATGCATTTCCATGTAACAATGACTTTACTTTCATTCTAAACTGTCAGAAGGCATATTGCTTGGGCAGTGGGAAATCCTGCTCCTTGAATGATTGTGCATATGTTTCTTTGAAAAGAATTGAGTTTCCCTGAGTTAATTCTTAAAAAAAAATAATCCAAATTATCTACTTCTTTTTTTTCTAAAATGTGACCCCCTTCCCCCTCAGTATTCTCTCATAATTCGCACAGGATTTCTCTTGAGGGTACGATAAAGTCTAATTTTCCCCATTATTCAATTTGGATCCTGTTAAGCGAGACAGGCATTCACTGACAAGAAGAACATTTCAATTTTGGCAAATAAGTTCATTAGTATTCAGAAAGCTTTGCACCCCTCATATTTAATAAACCTTTCCATTACAGAGTAAGAAATCCTGCAAAATAGTCAAACAAATTAGCAATGGGGCCACCAAGAGAGTACATTCAACCCTAATTCAGAGATGTCTCAGTTTATCAGTTTTCTGTCAATCACTAAAACAAGAAAAATGAAACATGCAATTATATACAAGGAGACAGAACTCCTAATTCTTTCATCCCAGCTGAAGCAGAAGAGTTTTAATTGCTTGGAAAAATAAGATTTTTGTTTTCTCTCAAGAAGGACAGAGAAAACAAAAATAAATTGCCTCATAGTCAATGGTGGGAGCTATAAGACTCCAGATCATGCAGATTAGAAGTAGAAACACCAGTCTATCATTTGTATATTCTGCCTTCACAATGGCCAATAGCCAGATATTTGGGAATGGAAGATGATTGACAGGAAAAAAAATGTTTCCCTTTTCATTAGATTCACTGCTTCTGCTTCTGCTTAATGGGAGAAATAGTGGACTAAAATATTTGAATATGTTGTTGATTATTTCAGAGTCAATTTTTCATTTATCTGAGTTACTCAGTCCCTTTGTTTCTCTTTAAAGTCCTATTAGCCATTCTATGCCATGAACGTTAGATTGCTTTTAATAGATTTACCAGGAGGAATTATGAACAGGTCAAGGAAATAAAACTCTAATTAATCCAGGTATAATAATATACACCTTGCATAGAATAGGCAATAAAGAAAATTAAAGGTCTTGGTCATGTAGAAGTATAGACCTTACCTGTAGGTCTTTTCTATTCCTTGACCTCAACTGAGAAATAAAATGAGTCAAGAGTAATTAATTCTACCAGTTAAGCCATAACTTGAAATACCTAAAATTAGTTCCCATGATAAAATTTCGAAACCAAATAGTTTTTGTCCGCAATCTAAATATAAATTTCCATTGAATTATTTTTCCATAAAATATTTTCTGTACTCAGAGATTAATTTGCTAATGATGGAAGAAATAACGAGAAGAACAAGATGCTTAGATATGATTTCCAATGAGGTAGGAGTTCATAGCAATATTTTTTGTCTGATTATTATTTTTCCTTTCCTTTTTAAAGAGGTCATGATGGATATGGCTCAGTGGTGGAGTGCTGACTGGCTTGTGCAAGACCCTGGGTTTGATCCCTAGTGCTGAAATAAGTATACAATTAAAAGAAGTCACCAGACACAGGGAAAATGTGAAGCACAGTATATATGAAAGATGGCTATTTATTGAGAAGTTTTTTTTTTTAATTTAGATTTTCCCTACCTGGGCAAGGATGAGTTCCAGGTGTGTAGTAGTCTGTGGACCTCACTATATGGAGTATTGTCTCTCTACCAACTTTAAGACTGTTTGTTTCTTAAATTTGAAAAAAGTTCTTTCATGATGACCCTGGGTCTGAATGATTATCCTATATGTATCTTAGAGCACTACAAAATTGCTTGAGCAGGTTGAGGCACCTATCTGTTGTGGTTACCCTGGGGGTACCACGAGCACACTCCTCTGGGACATAGATGATTCCCTCCAAAGGTGAAGCCAACAGATGAAGGAAGGAGGGTTTCCTCCTCTTCTGGGAAAGCACATGGAATCTGGGAAAGCATTACCTTGTACCTCCAAACCTAGCACACAGCAGGTAGAGGGCACATAGCATGTGCTTAATAGAAATGTGAGGAACTAAAGGACTAGGAGAAAGGCAGATAAAGAAGGAATGAAGGAGAGAAGAATAACTTGTTAGTGTTAGAATGAAGACCAAAACCCAGGTCTCAAGGTTCCCAGCCCAACATTTCTCACACTCCTGTTTCCTACATAGAATAGAAGTGATAGTTGGCTCTGAATTCTATCCCTACCTATTTCCTGACCCCAACATTTCATATTTCCCTCCCCAGAAGCCCTACTAACCCCAAGCACATTGCCTGGCACCACAGGACTTTGCACAGTTTGCTGAAAGCAACCCATGCTTATAGAGCATTTATAGAATGTAGGCTTAGAAAGCAAAGTCACTGGACATGATTAAGGCAACAGGAATTACCTTATTGATTGGACTCCCATGTGTGTTGCTGGGATCAGAACCAGGACCCTGTGCATGCTAGTCAGTGCTCTACCACTGAACTACAAGCCCTACCATCTTGATCAGAAATCTGGGCCTGAGAATACCTTTGTGGCTACCAATTGATTATAAACACTGCTCTTCGCACTTAAGGGGAAGTTAGAATATAAGGTCCATGGGATAGGAACCATGTCTATTTTGCCTGTAAGACTCTACAAAGTCCTTCCCATACTTGACTGTTTGTTGAGTTATTAAATGCAACCATCAATTCCATATTTTATGATTCCAAGCATGTTCCATGATGTCCTCTTTTAAAAATAACTAGCAATATCACCCTTCAGCCAAATATATTTGAAGTTCCCAGCTCAATCTAGTATTTTCATTGATTAATTCATTCAATACGGTTGGGCGGGGGGTGGGGGCTCACCTATAGACAAAGAGTTCAAGCTTCATTTGACTTGAAATACTTTGTTAGCAATGACCCTCACCCTTAAGTTTAAAAGACACTTTAAGGGCTCACGTCATAGAACTAGATGGCCTATGACAATGTATTCATCTTCAAGCCCTAGAGTGCTGATGCTGGTGTAGGCTAATAAACTGGTGTCTCCTTCAAACTACTACTTGTTCAATCTTTACTAGAGGAAAAGAACTGAGCAGGAGGACCACTAAGACACTCAAGCTCTTCTCTGTGATGATGGGCAATTTAGTGGGAACACCCAATTTACATATCCCAGTAGGAAAAGCAGAAATCTCGCGATAAAACAGCTTCCTCTGACTACTCCCCGTTTTCCACCCCTGAGGAATTTATTAAGCCATTCCTTCCAATCCCATGCAGAATTCTCCCTGAGAGAAGAGCTTATAAATACATTTTCCTCTCCTTGTATTTCCATAGATATGTTAGTATGCTATTAACATTTTTAATGCCATTAGCAGCTAGTCCTCCAAAAAGTTGTCTCATTGGGTTATATTTAATCTGACCCTGGTGAGAATCATTATTTGAACAGAAAAAGGCAATCTAGAGAGAAACTGTAGTTGATATTCCTCTTCTTTAGGAGAGTGGCAGCCCATTCACAGTGTCTTCTTGATGATGGTTTCCAGGGGCCAGGGTGCAAGGATCGCCACAGCAGTGGGGAAGCAATGTAAGAAAAAACCATGTTCTTCCAAAGGAGTGGATTTTCCTTCTGTCTCAGCAACTGCAAAATTGTAAATGAAAGATTATAAAGTTAAGCCACTGCACAAGTGAGGATCTTTGTAAATACTGGGCTTAAACAAAGCTTGATGACAGATTCATTGACTTTTAAATGAATCCTGTGGTTTTTCCAAACAATGGGGCTGAGAAACTTCTAAACAGCAAAAGTATGCTTGAGGATTCTCTGATCCTTCATTAATTTTGCAGTACCAAAGAAAAGGGAAACTTTATAATTGCAATTAAATATAAGTGAATCTGCAAGCATAAAGCATATGGAATGAGTCGGCTAGGGTGGGACATATTAGAGAAAGAGGAAAGAGAATCCAAAGAATCCAGAAACAGTCATTTCTTTGAGTGTTGCACAGAGCTGAACTAAAAGAGTAGTGATCATAGGACCTGAGTGAGAGTTGAGTAAATCATATTTGGGGGCAAACTTGCATTTAAGATCTCATAAAAAATAAAATAAAATTGCTTGAATGTCGAAGAAAAAAAAAATAAAGAACAAATGTTATAAATTAGACTTCACCAACATTTACATCTGCTCCTCAAAAGACAACATGAATGAAGGAAAGAAGCAAATGACAAAGAAGAAGTATTTGAAATGTACATATCTAACAAAAGAATTTCTACAAATAAAAAATAAAAATATAATTACCCCACAAAAGAAAATATTTGAATTATCTGTAACTACATGAAAATCATTAATATGAGGAAAACAAACTTTAAAAGCAAAATGACATACCACTACAACTGTTTAAAGACTTAAAGCTGACAGACTAAGTGCTAGTAAGGTGTGAAGTATGGATATAACTCCATTCTTAAATGTTATTCATGGGAGTAAAAAACATTATAATTACTTAGAAAATCAGTTAGAAGTTTCTAATAAACTTAAAGTGAAACCAAAAAAAAAAAAAAAGTCAGAATTTTAGTAACCCAAGCCTTATCCAATTCCCAGGCAATCAATATGATTAGTTCTGAAAGTTTTTTTTTTTTTTTTTTTTTTTTTATCAAATTAGACAGAATGGTAAGAAATCCACCCAAAGATGGCTGAGATGAAGCATCAGTAGTTTTGGGCTTCTCTGTCAAAAACATCACAGGTGATTTAGTGCCACTGTCAGAGATCTGGGAAAAACTGGGCAAAAACACCAAATTAATGACTGTCTTCAGCTGCCATCCCCTCTCTTGCTGTGCCCTCTGTCCCCTTCCTTAGGCTCCAAGAACCCAGGAAATATGTACTATTTTTCACCCACTCTAATTTCTCTAACATGAGAGAGAGCAGCTAAACTCAAAGTCTTTCAATTCATACTAGAGCATTAACAATTGGTGACATTAACACTCCCATGAGATATTTGCAATTTATTAATGCAACATGTACACATGAACCTCTGAATCATTAGAAAATGGGGTGAAAAGGGGAGAGAGGGCGGGTGTTCACATGGCTGCTAATTTAATCTCATGTCTGTTCACATCAACCACCAAACCTACATACAGAAGGTTACAGCAACCACCAAACCTACATACAGAAGGTTACAGCAACTTTGTCACTGCTAACCCTAGTCTGAGAAAACAGTCCTATTCAGAGCACCCAGAGGTATCTCCTTTAGCACTGATGCCTAGGCCTATAGAGAAGCCTCCTAATAATATCAGTGGCACATCTATACTCCCAAAGCAAACTAAAAAGTAATTGAGTTACCCACCATTACACAGTGACTGACTTAAACTTAAGGCCAAGACTGAACCCAGGTCTCCCAAACCCCAGTCCACAGGCTGCACAATGCAGTGTTTTTTTTCTCTAGACCCAGGCAAGAAAATGACCTTCTACAAATTCTAGGGCAGTGTTTCAATAGTGTCTGGGTGTAATTTCCCCTTCCTGGACAATACTCTGACTCTGTGTCTGGAGCTAGACACAAGAATCTGCATGATAACAAGCTACTTGCAGGACTCTGAGCAGCTAGGGTTAAGAACCACCCCTACACTTGGTCTCCTATACCTAACAGCACCATGCAGAGGCAGGAAGGTCTCCCTGAAAGGGCTGCTTTAGGGGCATCCTCTTGAGCCCAAATATCAAAAGGCTGCTGACCATGGGTCACAAGTCAGAGACTGGAAAGAAAACTGGTTTAATGACTTTGTGACTGGCAACATCCCAGTGATACTCTCAAGATTTCTGTATAACCAGTCTTCCAACATGTGCTGAGCCCCTACTTTGTGTGAGATCATATGCAGGATGCCAAGATGGATGACGAAAAGTAAGCCCAAGCTGTAAATAGTCTGTTAAGAAGATCAGATGCGTACACTCACAAATTAAAAAAAAAAAAGACATGTACACTTAAAAAGAATATTAATGTTACAGAGCAATGTCATTGAGAAGGGGACATAACACAGATCAGTGTTGTATAGGCATGTCCCAAGTACTTGAGTGATCTCCAAACCCAGTGCCTGGCAGAATCATCTGTGTGAGGTCTGAAACCCCAACCCTAGGATTCTAATTCAATGAGCCTGAGGAGTTGTATCTTCAGCCAGTTCCCAGGCAAATCCTATGCAGCAAGTTTACGAAAGGACATTTGAGAGTCTTCTAGAGTGTTGAGAGCCAGGATGTGAAGAATTTAAGAGAACATAGCATTATACTAGTGGTTTGCAGCTCCTCTATATTAACCTACTCAAATTGCGCCCTCTGAATCCCTAGCTGTTTAGTTTTGCTCCTATGGACAGTCTTGGCCTATGCTGTCTTCCCACTTAGGGCCTACTCCATTTTCCCAGTAGAAATATATTCTCTAGGAATAGCTACAGCTTTATTCCTGAGGAAAATACATAGACAAAAGCCTACATCTCACATTCATTGTATGATTCCATTTATATAAAATGTCTAAAATAGGCAACTCCATAGAGACAGAAAGTAGATTACTGGTTGCCAAAGTCTGTTTTGTTGGTTTCATCTCAGAAAATATGTTAATCCTGTATATATACCTGTATATAATCCTGTATATAATATACCACCCAGCAGCAGAGGGTGGGAATTGAATGGTGGTGGTACCTTTTAATAAAGTGGGCTTTCTCTGCAATTTGCCTTGGTTTCTTCCACGTCCATTTGAGGGCAAATTTATTATTGCTCTTGTGTTTGGTCTTATTTTATTAAGAGAAATTGTGCCATGTCTCTAAAGGTAAATAAAAAAGTAGATTACTGGAACTCAAAGTCTTCCAATTCATACTAGAGCATTAACAATTAGTGACATTAACACTCCCATGAGATGTTTACAATTCATCAATGTAACATGTACACATGAACCTCTGAATCATTAGAATATGAGGGGAAAAGGGGAGAGAGGGAGGTTGTTCACATGGCTGCTAATATTAATCTCATGTCTGTTCACATCAACCACCAAAGCTACATACAGAAGGTTTCAGCAACTTTGCCTCCAACAACATTGCTAACTCTAGTCTGGAAAAATAGTCCTATTCAGAGCACCCAGAGGTATAGCCGTGCCACTGATATTATTAGGAGGCTTCTCTATAGGCCCAGGCATTAGTGCTAAAGGAGATACCTCTGGTTGTGATGATTATACAATACTTTGTGACTATTCTAAGAACCACTGGAATATTTCACTTTTTAAAAAAATGAAATTTAAGGTTTGTAAATTATATCTGAAATTTTGAAAAACCCATACACAGTGTGGATACACATTTCACATGCAGGTAACCTACCTGGCTCCCTGGTCCTCACAACTATTAGGTGACATCCTTTGGGCAAGAGGCAGAATAGCTGATGACAATAACAAGGTAGTTGTGACGTGGTGATACCCATTACACATGGTACACATTTGCCTGAATACATGGTTATCTGAGATGATAATCAAAACCAAAGATGTGGATAATATTATTATACTTTTATTGTTAAGATTTTTTGTGTATGGTACTAGGAATTGAACCTAGTCGTCCTATACCACTGAGCTACATACCCAACCCTTTTTATATTTTGTTTTGAGACAGAGTCTTGCTAAGTTTCCCAGGCTGCTTTGAACTTGTGATCCTCCTGCCTCAGCCTCCTGAGTAGGTAGGATCACAGGCATGCACCACCATGTTCAGCCTATTGCTAAGATTTTAAAGATGGTAAAATAAAGGCATAGTGAGGTTAAATAACTTGACCCTTCCCACAGCAAGGGAGATGTGGTTAAATAGGCAACAAAAAGCCCTCTGACTTAAAGGACGTCCCTCATGATCTACATTTTTACCATTAGATTTGGAGATAATAGAATAATAGTAATAGTGATAACAATATAACTTAAGATTTACTGAGCACTTTTATTTTTATAGTCCCTGCACTAAATTCTCTACATAGATTATCTCATGTAATTTTCACAAAAACTTCACACTATTGTCATCCCCAGTTTACAGATGTGGAAACTGAAGCAGATAATATTTAAGTAATTTGAACAAATCTACACAGTTAGGAAGGAAGGAAGCTAGAATTTGAACATAGCCACTTAGTCAAAGATCCAAACTCAGGTGCCTAAAAGGGTCATGACAATGCAAATTTGAAGTGGAACCCACGTATTTCTTTCTTTTTTTTTGAATATTTATTTTTTAGTTTTAGGTGGATACAATACCTTTATTTTATTTTTATGTGGTGCTGAGAATCAAACCCAGTGCCTCACGCATGCCAGGAAAGCTTGCTACCACTTGAGCCACATCCCCAGCCCCCACATATTTCTTGAAATACAAAATAGTGTCTGCCCATTTTTAATTTATCTTTAGAGGCATGGCACAATTTGTCTTAATAAAATAAAACCAATCACAAGAGCAATAATAAAAGTGCCCTCAAATGGACACAGAAGAAACCAGGGCAAATTGCAGAGAAAGCCCACTTTATCAAAAGGGGACACCACCATTCAATTCCCACCCTTTGCTGCTGGGTGGTATATGGTACAGGATTAACATATTTTCTGAGATGAAACCAACAAAACAGACTTTTACTTGAATTTTTTTGCTTTGTCTTTTTAAAATATGACA